TCCCGGGGCTCCGGAGGAGTTCTCACCTACATCGTCCACAAGGGACGACTCGGGAACTCAACTCCTACCTCGGGCAGCTCACCTTTCCCCCTATGCCCAGGGGAAAGGTATCAAGCCGTTTGACAGCTGATGCAGGCTGTCAAAACGGCTTTTACGCAGAAACAGGCGGGAGCAGCAAACAGCTGCGTCCAGCGAAGGCACCTGCCACCGGAAGTCCCAGAGTTAGCTTTTCTTCAAACTTGCCAGATTGTTTATGCCTAATAAAGTTAACATTGGAGCTCATCATATCTCTAGTGTTTTGCTTGGTTGGGCTTTTCAGCCGGAATATGACACTAAGCTAACTCTCCAAATAATTCCTAAATTAATTAAGGGGTCCTGAGCCCCTACGCCCTTCTGGAAGCCTCCAGAGGGGTGGGGAAGACTGAGGAGAAGATGCCTGAAATGGATAAGCCAGCTGGAGCCAGGTTGGGATCGACCAGCAGGACTCCGGCTTGGGCCGAAAGCAGCTTCATAACCCCACCAGCCTCGACCCGTCCTAAGGAGTAAGTTGAACGCGAGGAGCCAACCCCAACCCTGGAATGGATGGGTGGGGCAGTAACGTTCAACCGGCCCAAGTTGGAGAAGTGGTAAGAGGCATTACGGAGAGCCGCTGAAGCTGAATTCTCATTGTACTGCCCTCAGCCCCAGTGGGGTAGAGAGCTGGAGTGGTGGGAGCAAGGAACATTGGAGTGGACAGCCCCCAAGGAGCGCTACTTGCCAAGGTGTGGCAGCCAGTTGGTGGAGCAACTGAGGTAGAAGTTTAGTAGCCTAGAGGTTCATTGAGGAGAGTCAGTCCCATGGCTGGATCCTAAACCCCGAAGGGGCTCGGCTCCACTCCTGGCATCAGCACCAGCCCTTTCGCCCCAGCACGCAGCAGCCACTGCAGTGGCTGCAAGAGCTGCTAGCCCACAGCCAGGGCCACCTCCCCAACCCAGTCCCAGTCCGGGAAAGAGAGCCCGTAGTCCACCACACGCGCCTGCTCCTCAACCTGGGAGACCCGATTGGTGACCACTACCAGGTCCCAAATATGGAGTTCGCCTGTGGATGTACCCATATGGCAGGGGCTAGATGCCAGGACCCGGGCCAGCCCCAAGGCCACCTCCACCCCCACCACTGAGAGCAACATTTGATGGGAACCCTGAGAAGCTGGCGTTCTTCCTCAATCAAGTCTGGACCCACCTCGACTGACATAGGGAAGACTACCCTGACGATGAGGCCTGGGTGGATGATGTGGTGGCCAATCTCGAAGAGGAGACAGTGGAATGGGTGACAATTCTCCATGACAAAGGCGCCCCTGAGCTGGAAGACCCAGATGCATTTCTCTATGGCCTCAGAGACCGGTTCGGGGACCCCACACAGACCCAACGGGTGGAGGTAGAGGTTCAGAAGGTCAAGCAGGGGAGTAGACCGGTGGCCGAATACATTAGAGATTTCAGGAGGATCGCAGGGAGGTTGAGGCACTGGCCAGAGCAGCTATTGGTCCAATAGGGCAGGGCTTTTCAACCGGTGGTATGCGTACCACTTGTGGTACATTAATGAGTGGCAGGTGGTACACAGCCCTGCCTAGCCAAGTGTAGTGGGGGAGGGAAAGAGCCAGCACAGGCAAGGACTTACAGTGAGAGAGTCCTCTGGAGCTGCAAAGGCCCCAGGCTCACTTCTGGCTCACCCTCCCCCATGAGAAAGGAGGAG